TTCTTTCGAAAGAGGAACTTTCGAAAGAAGGCGTTCTTCCTCGTAAATTGAGGTTTACCGCCATCGAAAGAAAAGCCGCGTTCTTTCGAATTAATTTCGAAAGAACGCGGCTTGAGTCTGGATGCAGGGGAAGTTTTTTCGAAAAAAGGCTACTTTTTTCGAAAAAAACCCTGAGTCTGGACACAGCCCTGGAGGTTTCATGATGCAATGTAATCCTTGATTAAAGATTAATCTTCAGTTCCTGGAGACTCCTGAACTCCTAGAGGCATGGCAACCCCAATTGTGAGGCAGTCTATACAGATTATCCTGTAAAAAACAATGCCCTATCCTCTGTGGGATATCAGAAGGATTTTTTCACCCCCAAATGATTCTAGAGTAGAACATGCTATCGGCAGTCTTTGCTACACATGTAGAGAGTAAGCATCGTCTGTGTTCTCTTCTGCCAAATCTCAGGGCCACTGGCTCTTCTGTAAGGGCAGTGCAGACTCATGCAGAGCCAACTCCAGGACGAGGATACTCTCACTCTGGCAGCTGCTTGGAGTGTGACTTAATTTCTTCCTAGCACTGCCAGTACAAGCAAATAAATTATGCCTGCTTCCTTTGTGGGAGCACTGGGAACTAAGGATGTGATGCCTGTGTTTTCCACCTCCAGCCCATATGATATAGAGCACCCGTATTGGGATGCTATGAGTTCAAGAAAGAGCTATTGAATTAATATATAAAGATCGTAAATTATACTTACGGCAGAGCAAATCAGAGTGGCTAAAATCATAGAATCACAGAACACTACAACTGGAAGGGACCTCAAGAGGTCATCAAATCCAGTCCCCTGCCCTCAAAGCAGGACCCAGCACCATCTAAACCATCCCTGATAGATGTCTATCTAACCTGTTCTTAAATATCTCCAAAGACGGAGATTCCACAACCTCCCTAGGTAACTTATTCCAGAGTTTAACCACCCTGACAGGAAGTTTTTCCTAATGTCCAACCTACACCTCCCTTGCTGCAGTTTAAGCCCATTGCTTCTTGTCCTATCCTCAGAGGCCAAGGAGAACAATTTTTCTCCCTCTTCCTCGTGACACCCTTTTAGATACCTGAAAACTGCCATCATGCCCCCTCTCAGGGTTTGGCTACACTGCCGCTTTTTTTATCCTTTTGTTGGAAGAGGCTTTTCTGACATTTGGCCTGTCTAAACTGGACCAAATGTCAGAAAAAAATCCTCTTTTGGAAGCCTCCGTATTCCTCATAGAATGAGGAATAAAGGAGCTTCCAAAAGAGTGCGTTTGCTCTTCCGGGGGGGAAAAAAGGAAGAGCAAACGCGTCCCTGGATGTGGAAGAGTTTTTCAAGGATACAACCCGGAAAACTCTTAGGGTACATCCAGACTACAGGCTTTTGTCGACAGAGGCTTTGTCGACAGTATCTGTTGACAAAGAGCGTCTAGACTACATCCAGTTCTGTCGACAAAGCAAGCCGCTTTGTCGTTATGAGAGTATAGACGCAAAGGAAAATGTAGATGCAATAACACCTTCTGTCGACAAAAGGCGTTATTCCTCATAGAATGAGGTTTACAGCTGTCGACAAAGCTGCCAATTTCTGTTGACAGAAGTCGGTGGTAGTGTAGACGCAGATATACTTTTGTCGACAAAAGGCCACTTTTGTTGACAAAACCCTGTAGCCTAGACACATACCCTTATAGTCTAACCGTACCCTCATTCTTCTCCTTTCCAAACTAAACAAGCCTAATTCTTTCAGTCTTCCTTCATAGGTCATGTTTCTAGACTTTTAATCATTCTTGTTGCTCTTCTGTGGACCTTCTCCAATTTTTCCACAACTTTCTTGAAATGTGGTGCCCAGAACTGGACACAGTACTCCAACTGAGACCTAATCAGCATTCAATAGAGTGGAAGAATAACTTCTCTTGTCTTGCTCACAATACTCCTGTTAATGCATCCAAGAATCATGTTTGCTTTTTTGAAACAGCATCACACTGTTGGCTCATATTTCGCTTGTAATCCACTGTGCCCCTTAGATCCCTTTCTGCAGTACTCCTTCATAGAAAGTTTCCCATTCTGTATGTGTGAAACTGATTGTTCCTTCCTATGTGGAGTACTTTGCATTTGTCCCTATTAAACTTCATCCATAAAATAAAAGAATGTAAAATAAAAAATAACAGTCTCTGTCAATATAAGAACATAACAACGGCCATGCTGAGTCAGACCTAAGGTCCATCTAGCCCTGTATCTTGTCTTCCAACAGTGGCCAATGCCAGATTCCCCAGTAGAAATGAACATAACAGGTAATCATCAAATGATCCTTCTCCTGACATTCATTTCCAGCCTCTGACAAACATAGGTTAGGGACACCGTTCCTACCCACCCTGGCTAATCAGTATTGATGGACCTAGCCTCCATGAATTTATCTAGTTCTTGTTTGAAGCCTGTTAAAGTCCTGGTCTTCACAACATCTTCTGACAAGGAATTCCAAAGGCTGACTGTGCACTGTCTGAAGAAAACATTCCTTTTGTTTATTTTAAACCTGCTGCCTATTAATTTCATTTGGTGACCCCTAGTTCTTATGTTATGGGAACAAGTAAATAACTTTTCCTTATTCACTTTTTTTCCACATCTGTCATAATTTTATAGACCTCTATCACATCCCTCCTTAGTCTCCTCTTTTCTAAAATGAAAATCCCAGTCTTTTAATCTCTCTTCATATGGTGCCTGTTCCAAACCCCTAATCATTTTTGTTGACCTTTTCTGAACTTTTTTGCAATGCTAATATATCTTTTTTGAGATGCGGTGACCACATCGAAACACAGTATTCAAGATGTGGGTGTACAATGGATTTACATAGAGACAATAAGATATTTTCTATCCCTTTTTAAATGATTCCTAACATCCTATTTGCTTTTTTGACTGCTGCTGCACACTCTGTGGAGTGTTCAGAGAACTATCCACAATGATTCCAAGATCTCTCTCTTGAGTGGTTATAGCTAAATTATTCCCTATCATTTTGTATGTATAGTTGGGATTATTTTTTCCAATGTGCATTACTTTGCATTTATCAACATTAAAATTCATTTGCCATTTAGTTGCCCAATCACCTAGTTTTTTGAGATCCTTTTGAAGCTCTTCACAGTCTGCTTTGTTCTTAACTATCTTGAGCAGTTTAGTATCATCTGCAAATTTTGCCACCTATTTACCTCATTCTCTAGATTTCTTATAAATAGGTTGAATAGGATGGGTCCCCGTATGGAGCCTTTGGGGACACCACTAGTTAACTCTCTCCATTCTGAGAACTGGCCATTTTTATCTACCCTTTGTTTCTTCTTTTTTAATCATTTATCAAGGACCTCCCCTCTTATCCCATGACAGCTTACTTTACTTAAGAGCCTTTGGTGTGGAACTTTGTTAAGGGTTTTCTGGAAATCTAAGTACACTTTGTCCACCGGATCTCCTTTGTCCAAATGCTTGTTGATCCCCTCAAAGAACTTTAGTAGATTAGTAAGTCATGATTTCTCTTTACAAAGAAACCATATTGGCTTTTCCCCCAACAAATTATATTCATCCACGTGTCTGACAGTTTTATTCTTTACTATAGTTTCAACTAATTTGTCTGGTACTGAGGTTAGACTCACTGGTCTGTAATTGCCAGGATCACCTCCAGAGCCCTTTTTAAATATTGGTGTCACATTAGCTATCTTCCAATCATTAGTACAGAAGCTGATTCAAAGGATAGGTCACAAGCCACAGTTAATACTTAAGCAATTTCACATTTAAGTTCTTTCAAACCCCTCTCCTCCTCTCTCCCGTGGGGTATACATGTCCGCATCTTATACAAGTTGATTTTTACTCCTTGGAGTCTCTCCGGGAGCATCAGTTCCCCTAAGCAGCTCTCTCCGTCCCCCCATTAGACTTGTGTCAGCTCTGCTGCAGGGGAGCAGGGAGGGCCTGATGAGCTTCCAGCACGCCTGTGCTGCGCTCTCCATTCCCCCTGCCCGAAGGAGGGTGGGTGGCGCCTGGCTGCAGCTGTGTGGGCGGGCCTTGATGCGAGTGCGGCTCCCTTGCCGCAGGCCAGCCGGCTCGCTGGCAGCAGGATGTCTGTCACCTTGTGTCTGCTCTCTATGCTGGGTGGCTACCTCCTCACCTCAGCGCTGCTGCTCAAGTGCCTGAGGCTACTGTACTGGCCCAAGCAGCAGCGCTTCCGCTGCTGCCATATCTCCCGCCACAGCATCAAAGATCACCTTTTATGAAGGCGGCAGAAGTCTCTGCGGGTTATATACATCTGTGGGTAATCTAAGATATTTTTTACACATGAAAGAAAAACTGCAGGTAATACATGAGTGTTTGTTATACATGGACATGGGTTATATTAGCTTATTTATGGTAATCTCCTCATTTTTGTGTAGATCCTCTTTCTGAAATTATATGCCACAGTGTTGGGCTGCTTTGGTGTTTTTCCCACCACAGGGATGTTAAAGTTTATTACATTATGGTCACTATTTACTAGTGGTCCAGTTATATATGCCTCTTGGACCTGATCCTGTGCTCCACTTAGGACTGAATCAAGAATGAGCTCTCCCCTTATGGGTTCCAAAACCAGCTGCTACAAGAAGCAGTCATTTAAGGTGTCATCTATCCTTAAGTTGACTCTGGCAGATTTAATAGTTTGTGCCTGCATTTACCAGTTTTGACTAACACTGAAAGTGGAAGTAGAAATACTGAAAGGAAGCCTGATCCCAGTCAAATGAAATTAGGAAGTTCCTTAAATTTCTGAGTGAACCTTTCCCCATGAGATTTACAGGTAGAACTCTGAGATGAGACTCTCAGATGAGTTTGCCTGGAACTTTGACTCTAGAGGAAATCCCATCCCTCATGCAAGTTGCATGGGTCTTTCTAGGAGAGTATCCTTACAAGGAGCTGTATTGAAAATGAGTGATTGGATTACAAATAATTATCAACAATATGTCACTAATATTTTGTAATGTCTCCTTTCCCAGTTCATGACAAAAAACCCAAGTAAGCGACTAGGCTGCGTGGCATCGCAAAATGGGGAGGACGCAATTAAACAGCATCCATTTTTTAAGGAAATTGACTGGGTTCTTCTAGAACAAAGGAAAATCAAGCCACCCTTCAAACCTCGAATTGTAAGTAGCAGTTTGATTAAACTCTGGAGATTACTATTTCAAAAATGTGTACTAGTTGGATTTTCTTGCTGTATTAAGAAACTAAGCACCTGCAGCAGAAATTAGAAGTTGAAATAAGAGAGTAAGTGCCTTACTGAAGAGCTTGCCCTGGTATTGGTTCCTCTGAAGGTAAGTGTCAGATTAGAATGCACTATAACATTTTTGTATTCAGTCTTATTCCAAACTGAAGAGAGCCCAAGATCCTCTTTTAAAGCTTTTCCTCAGTCTGACAATGTGTTTCAAGTTATATATGTTCTCTGTAGGAACTGTGCAGTAGTCCCACCTTGCTAAACCTTCATGGTTGTAGTATTTGAGAAAATATTATGGATTACATCAAATAAAATATAATAAAACAACATTAAGGACTAAAAGCAATAAAGGAAAGCAAAATGGTTAATAATCTAGTTATATTCATATACCTCTACTTAGTAATAAAACAATAATAAAGTATCACATTTTAATTTTACAAATATACATTCACCTTTCTTACTAACGCAACCAAATCCAGGCAAAATAGTTTTCATTGTTCTTGTTTTCATGTAAATGAAAGTCACCAAACAAATGAGATGTATTTATATTTTACAAAAATTTCAGCTTTGATGCTGAGAATATGTATGAGAAATTTTGTGATGAGGTATTTGAAAACCTTAGAATCTAGACCCTGGTTTAAAAACACTTATTTCCACTGGGTGCCAAATGTTTGGAAACCCTCATGCTTCTTAAATTTTGTTCACTATTATACTGTTTGGTCTTGTCTGCAAGTATGATCAATGTTTCTTTTGTGTCTTTCTTCAAAGAGTTTATGAAAATATTAAAAGCATTGGGCCCAATGAATACAAGTGTTATACAAATTAAGTCCAGAAAAGACGTATTAAGTCATCTAGTCTGTCCCATGTATTTATAAAGAATTCTCCTCTATGGTATAACAATGTTTGTTCATATATCCCAAGTGACTGGGCTTTCACCATGTCACTGTGAGAATATGCCATTACCTATATTTCACTGACAGGAATATTTCAATCTAAATCTTACCTTTCCAATCGCATCCCATTTAGTCCAATTTTACCCCCTTTACTATTGTCATTAATTCCTTCCCATTCATTGTTTACGCCCATCAGATATTTGCAGTTTTAAGAGAGGTTTAACCAATCCATATATGTCTTTTAACATTTCCCCATAAACATGTCGATGATTGAGTGGACATGTTGGCTATTTCTCCTTAATACCTAAAGATACTTGTTATCTATTGGTAGTTTTGCATATGTTCACATTTTGCAGCTATTCTCCTATTTCTACTTATCAATAATTATTTTGTAATATCTTCATTATTTCATTATCCGCATGAATTTTAATTTTTGTTCTTATTAAAAACCAAAAGGAAATCAGTATCTCGGTCATTTTTGACAAATCAGTGATATAACCCCTCCTTATATGTTAATGGGCCTTCTTTCTGATAAAAATACCTTTTGCCATTAGGAGAGAGAGAATTATTTCCTTTCACACTCTTTTGATAGTATTAATCCCTTTTCAATATTTTCTCCTTAATCTACTGTTAATATTTTTGTTTGGTTACCTCTTCATTTTTGTTAATAATCTCTAAGCAGTTCCTTAGGAAGCTGCAGTAGCAGCTGGTGGGCCCTGAAATACTTACTTGAAGGGGTAATTGTAATATGATGCATCTTAATTGTGCTGGCTTTTATGATCCTTCACTGCTTTCACAGTACTGTATTTCCATACTTCTCATCACACCTTATTCACCATCTTTCTTAGTTCTCCTTAGTTCTTCCTCCCAGAACGCTAACAGTGTTGTACAGCTGCTTTCTGTGAAATCTTTCTTCAATTTAAAAAAAAATGATAATAATAATAATATGTTGGTCTCCAATCTATTATTTTCTCATTCTCAATCTGTTCCTTCTGCCTCAAAAATAATAGATCAAGGATAACTTCTTTTCTGACTTGCCCCTATTAATTCTTACAGATAGCAACTCCTCATTCTGAAAGTGCACCAGGTATAATTGCACTATGTGATTCTTTTGTAGTAGCTCCATAATTCTGCACCTGTTTGGTTTTCCCTGTTTTCTTACTGTCTCCGGGCAAGATCATCTCAAAGTTTTACTATACTTAATTGGAAAAGTGATATTGTTTGGAAAAGAAAATTGTGACATGTGGCATGTGTTGACAAAAAGTTACAAAATAAGAACACAATTATAAATGGTGCAACATCAAAGTGGGAGGTATATCCAGTGACATCCAGATGGGTCTGTGGTAGGCCAATAACATATATTACCTTCCTAAATAATGCAGAAGAAGATTTTAATGGACACTAACCTAAAAAGATTGCACATACATTAAATAAAAGATGAAAGGGAGAAAGTTCAGAAGGCTAAAACAAATAGAATGGAGAGTATATATAATTCCTCTTTACATTTTATTCAGTTTAATAAAATTAATTGTTTACAAACCTGACAAAAGCGCACTTGAAGTGCTCTACAGTTTTTAACATCTTGCAACAGCGCATAAGAAAGATTGATGAAGAATGTCATCTAAAAATATAAGAGGATAAAAGGGTTTGATATACAACTGTGAGGTCAGGAAGACTTAATACAGTGAAAACACTTTTGAGACACAAGATCTGATTTGTAGTCAGAAAGTAGGCACCCATTTACATGTGCTGTGAATGTATATAGCTGCAAATGCACACAATGTATTTCTAGTCATGTGTGCATCCAGATTTGCATGCACAGGTCTATTTGTGACAGTGTAAGGGAGATACGTATTTACACAAGTGTGCAGCTGTTTTCTGACCAAGACTTAAGATAGCTATGGGGGATTTTGTTGTGTATCTGTGTAATAGATATTTGAGAAAATAAGAAAAGCGGAATATTGATTTAAGTGAACTATGAGTAATAAAATTACAAATAAAGGACTTAAATTAAAAAAAGGAAACTTAAGACAAGCACTGAGGTCAGTAGAATAATCTGCCAAAGGAGTGACTGAGGCATCAGCATTGAAATTAATTCTTAGTAAATATCTAGAGTAAGTTCTGCCTCAGTTATACTTGTGTGAGCCCAGAAACCTCAGAAATATGGGAGAATTCCTGACATATCATTTCATCCCTACTGGCTTTTATTCTTGCTGTGCTTACTGCAGGCTTGATCTAAAACTGACTGGTATCAATGCCAAGACTCCCATTGAATCTTTTGGGTTTTGGATCAGTCCTTGTTTGGAAGAGGGTAAAGATCTGCAGAATGACAGAGGAAACCATAGCAGCTATTAGAAAGAACAATATCAGGTGTATGCAGTAAGAGTCATGCTCCCAATTTCTTCTACACAGGTCCAATATGTCACTTTCATCTCTACAAGCCATTAGAAATGAACTTTGAATCTTTCACATACATTTGTAAGAAGCCTCTGCTTGTCAGTTCATTAGCCAACCTTTCTGTATTTATACTATTACAGGAAATGTGATGTATGCCCGTCACAAGCAATGTGGTGACTTTCATGGCAGTGAAGCTTCAGATGAGGTTTATATTAGTTATTCAGCCAGTGGTTGTAAGCAAGTAAATTATCATTCTAAATTAAAAAGATATTGTCATGGTATTTTCTATTCTTTTTAAAATGAGATATTATTCCAATAATCCCTTAGAAGCTTAAAAGCTCAAATCTCTTTCCTAATCTATCTTTGGCTTTCAGCCTTGGGATGAAAATTATCCAGGCACAGAAGACCCTTCCAGGGCCTTCTGTACAGGGGGATCGTTCCACGAGGAGTAATGGTAGTTCGGAATAGGAAGCCTAATCCGAACTACCTAGTTCATGCCGCGTGTAGCCGCGGGCACGGAGTCCGAACTAGCGGACATTTAAAAATGGCGGCGCCCGGCAACATGCAAATGAAGCCCGGGAAATTCAAATCCCGGGCTTCATTTGCAACTCCGGTTGCCTACATTAACCACCCTAGTTCGAACTAGAGGGCTAGTGTAGACATACCCTGGGAGTGACACAGAGTGTAGCATAGGTGTGGGTTAAAGAAAGGCAATGGGAGCCATGCCTATGCAGGTGAAGTGAATTCCTTTGGTGCACTCACCAGTGTTCCCGCTAAGATTTTCCATCCATGAGCAAAGTGAGTTTTGTCTTGTATACCAATATTGAGGTCATGTGCGCTTGTTCGGATGTGTGCCACTGTGGCATCCAAGTTATTGACAAATATCTTAATATCTATTTTGAAAATATTATGGAAGACAGAATACTACAACAAGGGATAATTGACAAGGTGCGTGACTTTAAATGTTTATTTAATATGAAGTCAAATAAAAAGAAAATTAATACTGAAAAATTTTCAGTAGCCAACATCCTCTGTTTATAGCCCTCTCCCAGACTCTACACCAGCTGGGCTTCCTCCTTAACTAAATCTGGCTCTTTTTTCAGGGAACTATGTGAATAAAGGCTAGAACCCATGGAAACTTAAAGTCCTCCCAAGATGTTCACGCCACCATCCCGCAACACAGCTGAGCCCACTCTCCTCGCAATCCCGCTCAGTAACTCACCAATACACTTTGCTTCCTGCTTTGGGCTCCTGCCCAGAACACACTTTCCTTTCCAGCCGGAGCTTACCTAACAGGTACACACGGCCCACCCCCGGAACAGCTACACATGGTCCAAGTACACATGGCCTACCCCGGGCAGGCACCACGTGGCCCTAGCCACAACTTCAGCCCTGGGGAAGAGCTGAAGCTGAAGCCAAGGTTGCATAGTGGCTGCCCAGCTGCTCCTGGGATGAGGTTGCATGGCAGGAGACTGCTCCGTGTGCCAGGCTGGAGCCAGGGCCGCGGTGCTATCTTCAGTACCACAGTCCACAGCTCCTACAGCCACCACACTGACCTGGCTATTTTAAATGCTGCAGTCCTGTCCCCACTGCCCGGCTTCATTACCAACAGCCCATTCATTTGCTTTTTATGCCCTGCCCC